TCCATCTAGAGCAGGGGTAGGCAAACTCTAGCCCTCCAGCTGCTGTGCAGCTAAAAATCCCATTAGGCATTGCAAGACTCTGACAGCCACAGCATGACTCCCAGAGGCAGATGCATGATGGGATTTGTAATTTCACTACAACTGGAGGGCCGGAGTTTGCCAACCCCTGATCTTGAAGTTTGTAAACGTACTTATAGAAGATGCTCATAGGATGTACTTCCTCAATGCACTGACATAATTTCACTAAGCCCTGTTAATATATGCACTTCCTTGTGTCACAACTCACAGAGCCTGCCTTGCTGGAAACAATGCATGATGGGATATATGTAGTCTTGTGAAATAGAGATTGCATCTCATCAGGCAGCAGGGAAAGAGATGCAAAGCACCCTGGGAATCCAAAACGTTGTTGAAAGTGATGGGCAGACAGAGAGCAGCATTCACTACATACAGTAAAAGGGATTTCTTTTTCAAGTAAGAGTTGATTCCATTAACAAAAACACCTCTAGTATATATTCCTATTATATGATAATGTTATAACAGGATAGGATATGCTGGGAACTCCTTTAGGGCCGGTTCACACCCCAAAGGCTGCGTTCCAGAGTGTTCGGGCCTCTGGAATGCACTGGAACGCAAGCCGGCCGGCTCCCTGCATTCAGGGGCGGGGGGCTGTGTTGGTGCATTGAAGTCAATGGCACCGCAGCCATGCCCCCTGCCCGCAGTGCGATTGCCCGCACCCGGAACGCAGACACATTAGTGCCTGCGTTCCGGTCCAGTGTGATCTGCAAAAAAATACTGCAAGCACTAATGTGCCTGCGATCGCACTGCGGGCGGGGGGCGTGGCTGCAGTGCCATTGACTTCAATGCCCCCTCACGGCCCTCAAAGCAGGGAGCCGGCCGACTTGCGTTCCAGAGGCCGAGCGCTGTAGAATGCAGACTTTGTGGTGTGAACCGGCCCTCGAGTCAGAAAATTATGTAAGAGATCTGCTTGCCCCTCTCAGCTTCTGGCCTGATGCCCGGCCCCACTACATACACAGCAGAGTCCATCTACACAATGACTATTCAAACTGATGACAGACGGGACCGTGTCAGGAAATATTTGTGTCCTGGAAATGGGGAAGGGGGGTTCTTTGGCATTTCACTTTTGGTGCTTCAGGACCTTGCCCCCATACTGATGTCATATGGACAAACACTCAAAGGTGAATAATGTCATCTTTGTATGTAAAATGTCTAGACAAGATGTGAATCAATAACCACCGTGTGCTTTTATCTGTAATTACTGTTTGCTCTCCGGGTGACACGAGCAGGGGGTTGTTTTCCCATTGACATACAGTTTATTTCTTGTTCTCTAAACTGAGCTCGAGGTATCTTCTCCAGACTGTCCAAATTCTATGAAATTATAAAATGATCTCATGAAGATATCTGCCTTTGCTGGAGCTCACTTATAGAAACTAGTTTGCAGCAGAACTCTGGCCAAAGTGTTCTAAACCCTTGCAGTGGGGCTACGTCTGCACTGCAAGGGTTAAGTGCTTGTTTTTGTCTAGGTGCGGAAAATCTTTTTTTTAACTCACCTGATCCTCGGAGCTGGCTTGTTCTTAGACCAGTTCCTGGAGCCTCCCTCCCCTTCCGCTGCATTGGTCTAAGGATCCTCGAGTCATCACATTCTTTACAGTGTTTAGGATGTGAGGACATCACTGCAACGTAGAAGGCAGGAACCTGTGTAGCAGCCATATGCTGGGCAAATGCCTTTCTTACAGCATTCCTGCCACTGGATGAGACAAGGGAGCATAGGAATTTCCTATGTTTCCGGCTCCATCTAGTGGCAGGAAAGCAGTATGAATGGCGTTTACCCGATGTATGGCTGGGTAGAAGATATCTAAATCAGCCCCTAAAGTAGGGTATACAGTTACACGATATGAATTTCGGATGGTTATAGAGGAGACTGTATAGAGACTTAAGGTGCCCATACACCTTACAATTTATCTGCAGATTTTCTGTGGTCAGATGGAAAAAGTGCAATAGATTGGCCCAGGTGGACATTACTCCATCCACACAGTTAAGTGTAGATGGAGGAATCTGTTGCACCTTTTCCATCTGACCACAGAAAATCTGCAGATAAATTGTAAGGTGTGTGGCCAGCTTAAGGCTGTGGTACCTTTACTGAGGATTTTGGTCAACAAACCTATATGAGATCACTTTAGGGTAGTGGTGGCGAACCTATGGCACGCGTGCCAGAGAGGGCATGCGGGGCCCTCTCTGCTGGCACACGAGCCCAGGTTCGGATTAATATAGGGGCCACCCCTGAGCCCGTACAGACCACCTCAGAGCCGCACAGCCCCCCTAAGAGCCCATGCAGACCACCTGAGAACTCACACAGCCCTCCAGAGACCCTGCATTGCAGGGCTATGTAGTCCTCTATAGTTGGTGGTACTCTGCATTGCTGTATAATGTATTGTTGGGATTTGTAGTACTCTATAGTTGGCAATATTCTGCCCTGCTGTATAATGTATTGTTGGGATTTGTAGTACTCTATAGTTGGCAATATTCTGCCCTGCTGTATAATGTATTGTTGGCATTTGTAGTACTCTATACTTGGCAGTATTCTGCACTGCTGTATAAGATATTGCTGGGATATGTAGTCCTCTATAGTTGGCAATATTCTGCCCTGCTGTATAATGTATTGTTGGGATTTGTAGTACTCTATAGTTGGCAATATTCTGCCCTGCTGTATAATGTATTTTTGGGATTTGTAGTCCTCTATAGTTGGTGGTATTCTGCCAACTTCCACCAAGTTGGGGGGGGAAGTTGGTGGAATTCTGCATTGCTGATTTTTATTATAATGTATTGCTGGGACTTGTAGTCCTGCATAGCTGGTAGTATTCTGCATGGCTGTATAATGATTGTACAGCAATGCAGCATAACGCCAACTATGCAGGACTACAAGTCCCAGCAATGCATTATATTTTTAAGTAGGGATGCACCAGTGCCAATACTTTGGCATTTTCACGACTACACATACTCGTGAAAATGCCCCCGATAATAAGCGCAGATACTGGTGTTCTATTGAGAACGCTGACGTAGTCAAATTTGCTGACCTCAGCATTTGCGTTTGCGCACAGACCAGTATTATTGAGGAAACCGGCATTTAATGACAAAGTATTTAGCTGAAATCGTTAATTGTGACTGTTAATAATATGCCGTCCATCATTTACTGCCATGCACAATTACAAATGAATACTTTGTAAATAAATGCCGGTTTCCTCGTTAATCCCGTCTGTGCATAAACGCAGATACTGGGTCGGTGTTCTTGACAGAAAGCCGGCACTAAATTTTTAAACTGAAGTGGCTGCCTGAGGTCCCACGCTTGCCTTTCTGTTAACCACACGGTGCCATGGTGGGTTGGGGGGCCCTTCATGGTTTCTTGCACCGGGCCCTGAAGGTTCTAGTTACGCCTCTGTCTCCGGGTGTTTTTCATTTAAGTTTATAGGATCGAAAAGCACTTTAATCTGCCAAACAATAGCTCATGTACTTTTTCCAGTGACAGGAGTTTTTCTGCTTGTGACAAAATGCTAAGGTGGGCACAGGGGCCATAGAAATGAATGTGATTCCTTGTCTTGAACGTTTTGTCGCACTCAAGACAAGCAAATGGGATTCCTCGTCTTGAGTGTTTTGTTGTGCTTAGCTTTGAGCGACAAGATGCCTAGGTGCAAGCGTGGAATTAAGGATGTTTGGAGTGCTTCCCGAAAACTACTTGGGCCTGTCAATCAAACAACACAAAGTAGTGGGCGTGTCAGACAGGGACCTGGGCGAATAAAGTACACAGTGGGTGGGTCAGAGCGGGACCTCCGAGAGACGAGGATGCCTAATGATGTTACAGCAGATATTGCTTGTCATTGGCCAAAACAATAAATACAATAAGCATGGAAATGGTTAAAAAAACTACAATGCATCCAAAATGCTCTAAAAAACACATTATTATATGCAATTGCACAAGCATGAATGGAGACAAATCGCATGTGTGTGCTGTGGCAACCTCCGTGTGCTAAAACATGTGACACATTTAAGATGCTGCAGTGCCATTCATTGTTAATGGCACCCCAGTGCACCTTGCTGTGCCATGCACTTTGCATTAAATTGTACCAAAATGCATGGCATAATTTGGGCATGGCGCGTTTTGAAAAAATGGTGCAGGGAATTCTTTGGTGTAATGGTGCATAGGTCAGCCCATCGAAATGAATGGTCTGCCATATAGGTGACACACAAAAATGCGCAAACACGCTGTCGCAGCCGACACAGACTTAGACCTGGAGGCCCCAGATATGCTCCACAGATAGAGGATGCTCAGTATTTAGTTTTATATACTATGGGGGCAATATATCAAAGCTGGAGTAGACAGAAACTGGAGCAGTTGCCCATAGCAACCAATCAGCTTCTATCTTCAGTGTGTGCAGTTAATATTTTAAAATGAAGCAGAGATCCTGATTGGTTGCCATGCACAGCTGCTCCAGATTCTGTCTGTCTAATGTCAGGCTGTCTTCTCTTGTTCTGAGCCTCTCTTCATATTACAGCCCTCTCCATATCCACAGCACCGAACACCGTGCATACAATCCTCCTAGTAATCCCTCTCTACATACAAGGCACCTGTAGATGACACAGCCTAACCTCAAGAAAACAGGAAGTGCTCAGCCCCACCCCCTAGCTGTCATACAGTTCTCTGCCAGCCTATCAACAGCGCCACATTGCTTAGCATCCTCTGGGCAACGCGACCTTCCACTTCCGTATGTGCCTCGCGGTGCATGACGGACATATAGTTTTTCAGCACATTGTTAAAAGTGGAACATTGCGCTGTGCGAACTACATTTCCCATCAACCCCCGGTTCAAAACGGGGTGTGGTTTGATGGAAAGGGGCAGTTACGTCTGTCATCGGCTGTGAGCAAGCAGGAGGGGGCGGAGCTGCAGGTGGCGGCGAGCGGGGGTTGTGCTTCCGCATTGGAGACCGGCTGCAGCGAGCGCTGCTGATGCGGCTGTTGTTGTTGTTGTTGTTGTGGTGACTGAGGATGAGAGGACGGTGACTGTCGGCGCCATGTCTCAGCCTCCCCAGTCCCCAGCCCAGGCGCAGCAGAGGAGGAGGAGGGGGGATAGGCGCATTTTCTCCGGCACTTGTCCGGATCTCCAGTGCCGGGCCAGGCTCTTCTTCCCGGCTCAGGGCTCAACCAGCATCGAGTGCACGGACTGTGGCCAGAGACACGAGCAGAGGCAGCTGCTGGAGGTGGAGGAGGTCACGGAACCGGACGTGGTGCTGCACAACCTGCTGAGGAACGCCCTGCTCGGTGTGGCCGGGCCCCCTCGCAGGAACACCACCACAGATATGGTGAAAGTCATGGGGCTGTCCAACTACCACTGCAAGCTGCTCTCCCCCATACTGGCCCGCTATGGCATGGACAAGCAGACTGGCAAGGCCAAGCTGCTGAGGGAGATGAACCAGGGGGATGTGTTTGACTGCTCCTTGTTGGGGGACCGGGCCTTCCTTATTGAGCCTGAGCATATAGATACGGTGGGCTACGGTAAGGACCGCTCAGGTAGCCTGCTGTACCTGCATGACACCCTGGACGACATCAATAAGGCCAACAACAACCAAGAGTCGCTGATACCTGTCCACGTGGATGGAGATGGCCACTGCTTGGTGCATGCCGTGTCACGGGCCCTTGTGGGAAGAGAACTTTTTTGGCATGCCTTGCGTGAGAACCTAAAGAAGCACTTGAAAGAGAACTTGGATAGATACAAGGCCCTATTCCATGACTTTATTGATGCAGCGGAATGGGAAGACATCATTAACGAATGCGACCCTTTGTTTGTTCCACCTGAAGGCGTACCCCTGGGTCTGAGAAACATTCACATATTTGGGCTTGCGAATGTCCTTCACCGTCCTATTGTCTTGCTGGATTCCTTAAGCGGCATGAGAAGTTCCGGGGATTACTCCGCTACCTTTCTTCCTGGTTTGATACCAGTGGAGAGCTGTAAAGGCAAAGATGGACAGCTCCATAAGCCAATATGCATAGCCTGGAGTAGCTCAGGTCGCAATCATTACATACCTTTAGTGGGCATCAAAGGCTCCTCATTGCCAAAATTGCCCTTAAAATTACTTCCCAAGGCCTGGGGAGTTCCACAGGATTTATTAAGAAAGTACATTAAACTAGAAGACGATGGCAGTTGCGTTATTGGAGGAGACAGAAGTCTGCAAGACAAATACTTGCTAAGGTTGGTTGCTGCCATGGAGGAAGTGTTCATGCATAAGCATGGCATCCATCCCAGCTTAGTAGCAGATGTGCATCAATACTTTTATAGAAGAACTGGAGTTATAGGCGTTCAGCCTGAAGAAGTGACTGCGGCTGCCAAGAAGGCAGTGTCTGAAAATCGCCTTCACAAATGCCTCATCTGTGGTGCTTTGTCAGAGCTCCTGGTCGCTCCAGAGTGGTTGGCCCCGGGAGGGAAGTTATATAACCTGGCAAAATCTACCCATGGTCAGTTGAAGCCAGATAAAAACTACAGTTTCCCACTTAATAACATAGTTTGTTCCTACGACGCAGTAAATGATGTGTTAGTACCGGATTTTAACTTGAGCAACCTAACCAGTTGCAATTGGTGCCGTGGTAATTCAGTCCGCAGGGTGAGAAGTGATGCCTCCATAGTTTATTTGGATGGTGACAGAACTAACACCAGGTCTTATGGAGGCAAATGTGGCTGTGGATTTAAGCATTACTGGGATGGTAAAGAGTATGATAACTTACCTGAAGCATTTCCCATCACTTTGGAGTGGGGTGGAAGAGTAGTGAGAGAAACTGTATACTGGTTCCAGTATGAAAGTGATACAGCCTTGAACAGCAATGTGTATGACGTTGCAATGAAACTGGTGACCAAGCATTTCCCAGGCGAATTTGGCAGTGAAATCCTTGTGCAGAAAGTTGTAAACACCATATTACATCAGACTGCCAAAAGGAACCCTGATGACTACACTCCGGTGTCCATAGATGGAGCTCATGTGCAGAGGATGGAAGATATTAAACCAGAGGAGGACTCTGATTCACACTTACCGACAAAAATCATTCTCACTGGTCAGAAAGCCAAAACTCTGCACAAAGAGGAATTAAATATGAGTAAAGCGGAAAGAAAGCTCCAGCAAAACATTACAGAACAGGCATCAGTGATGCAGAAACGCAAATCGGACCAGATAAAACAAGAACAGAAAGGACCAGTTAGATCCTCCTCCCCTGGGGCTATGAAAGATGGCCCATCATCTGGTCCTTCAACTCCCACAAAAGCACCTTACTCACCAACCTCTTCTAAAGAGAAGAAAATCCGTATTACAACCAATGATGGACGCCAGGCAATGCTCACCTTAAAATTCTCAACGACATTTTCTGAGCTTCAAGAGGGAATAGCCAAAGAGTTAGACATTACACCTTATTTACAGTGCATTCGCTATGGGTTTCCCCCAAAAGAGCTTCTGCCACCCAAGGATGGCTTTGAAAATGAGCCTGTGCCGTTACAACATGGTGACAGAGTTACAGTTGAGATTTTAAAAGCCAAAGACAAACCTGTCCAACAGATGCCATCGCATTCCAGTCATGCTGTTTCCGATGAGGATTCTGCCGTGTCTACAAAAGCAGTTTCAAAGGAGCTTCAAGACCAAATTGACAAAGAGATGTACTCCTTGTGTTTACTGGCAACCCTTATGGGTAAGAAAACAACCTCACTTGATACTTCTGTAGACAACTTTTTTTTTTTTTCTTTTCAGTTTTCCATATTTGTTTTCTTTTAATATACATTTGCTTCCTGTAGATTTTCCCCTTCTGTATTTGGAGGCTCATGTGTACAGTTTTTAAAATTCCATTTTAAAGGGCAACTCCTCTGGAAGGAGTGTGTATAGGTGTAAATGGTACTGTGGAAACGTTTTAGGCTCTGATGTCTAGTCTGTTTTTAAAAAGTTATAGTCGGGAATAGGCATTTGTAAGAAAATGAATCTCCTCTCTGAAATTGTTATAATTCGGGATTACCTCCTCAGGGACATCTGTGTATCGTTATTCACATGCATTCTGTCCCTCTCGGAGCAGAAGAATGATTGTAAAGGTGCCCATACACTGTACGATTATCGTACGAGAATCACGGAAAATCCTGCGATCGTACGATAATCGCAAAGTGTATGGAAGGCGTGCAACCGTTTCTACTGTACGGTCGCACGTCTTCCGTCGAACAAGCAGGCTTGAAAAAAACGTACGATTCTCGGCGGGTTAGTGGCCTGTTTGTTCGACAACTGCCGAACGGGCCGGTGTGCAGATCCGTACGAGCTTTTCATTAGCTTACAACCAACGCAAGACAAAAGTCTTGTGATGGTTGTAAGGTGTATGGGCACCTTAACCCCTTCGTGACTGACGACGTACAGTGTACGTCGCCAGCATCGGGGCTGAATCTAATAATAATCAAAAAATGTTTAAAAGTCCACTCCCCCGTGAGCACGCGCGTCGCCACGTAAACACGCGTCGGGTGCTCCTACGTATGAAAACGACAAACGCGCTACACATGTTGGGTATCGCCGCGCACGCCAGAGTGAGAGCAATAATTCTAGGGCCAGTATTTTGGGGTATCTCTAAATTGATGACCTGTTGGGGCTTTTAAAGCGTCTTCTATGGACTTTTTGGGCTACTGCAGTTTTTCGCCGTTTCAGGGACGCACGCAATTTGTAACCTGGGCATGTTGGGTATCGTTTTACTCGTTGTAACCTCATCTTTTATATTATAATTACAGAATTATCACAGAAATGGGTATTTTGTTGTGTTTTGGGGCATTTAATTACATTTTTTACTAAATGTTGGGGTTTAATAAGGATTTGCGCTAATATTGCGCAACATAAACATTTGCAACTACCACCATTTTATTCTATAGGGTCTTGGCATTCAGAAAATATATAATGTTGGGGTTTTTAAGTCATTTTCAGGCCTAAAATGTGCGAATATAACATGGGTGCAAAAAATGAAAAAAAGGCCTCAGTCATGAAGGGGTTAAAGCTCCTGCACAGGTTGTCTAGTAGCCTGTCACTGCTCAGTGCTGAAAGTCACATACTTACTGGCTGCTGACTCAGGGCAAAGCTGTGTAATAAAAATGTTTACTTCTCTAACTTAATCTTAAGCATATTTCTTGTTACATCACACTTAAGGGTCAGTTCACACCAATTGCGGTGCATTCCAGAGCGGTAGCTGCTGGAACGCACTGTAATCGCACACTAAACTCCCCCCTTTGTTGTGTGGCGGGGCCATGCCCCTAGCCGGCAGTGCGATCGGACGTGTGGCAAAACATTGCCTGTGTTCCGGTCCAGTGTGAATGCAAAAAAAATGCTTGCAGCATTTTTTGCACTCACACTGGGCCGGAACGCAGGCAATGTTCTGCCATGCATCCGATTACACTGCGGGGGGGGGAGGGGCTGGATGCAGTGCCGTTGACTTCAATTGTCTATGGCACATGTAATTGGTGTGAACTGGCCCTGACAGTGTCTGCTTTATTGCACTGAGCTGACGCAGGAGATTAGACAGCCGTATAGAGATCCTACAGCTGACGCGTTTGCTCTGTGAGGGAGAGAATAAAACTAAATTTCAGAACATATGGAGGTCTCTGATAGGTAAGGCTCCACTGTTTAAAGCATTCAAGTGCAGAATGATTGGAATTGCCCATTTTGACATTTCACAGCTTTGAGTCACTGAGCCAGAACAGGTTTGCAAACAAGGAATCCTGACTTTCATGATTTGTGCCAAGTAAGTGACTTGGACATCTTTCAGGGCTTGTTCACACCAAATCCGGATCAGATCTGCAAGAGTTTCTGCATATGTAGTGCAGTACTTCTTGACGCGTTCCAGGCAGTTTGAATTTTTTTTTTTTTAGCTTAAAATGGGATTGCAGTGCGTTCCAGGGCGTTTGCATGCGGTTTGATGCGTTTGCATCCATTTTGGTGTTTTCCAGAGCAGAAAAAATAGGGCATGCTGCATTTTTCCCACATGCTCTGGAACTGAACGCTGCGGTGTGAACTAGAGCCCAAAATACCATTGGAATACATTGGAGGCATTTTTGAAGCGTTCTGTAACTGCTCTGCTCCGCGCTTGGTGTGAACTAGCCCTTAAAGCCCTTTAAAGGTATAGTCTAGGCAGTTCCTGAGACTTTGAATGTTGGGGTGCCATGGTAGCCCCTAAAACTTGGATACCTGCATGAAGCTAATTTTGACCAGAGGCAAGCCCCTTAGCTGAATGTAACCACATTGCTATTCTAAGGATATCCAGGTAGGAGATGACGTTTAGGGAAGTGGAACTGAGAGAGTTGGAGCCAGCTGTTCAGAAACATGATGACTGTAAGTGCTTGATGAAAGTATTGAGCAAAGTATTTAAAGGAATACTTTGTCGGACAATGTTTATTTGTTTCATCTGAATTCATTATTAAAAAATATGTATGCAAGTTCTTAATACAACTTTGCACATAATCTATCGCATAGCCAAACACCTGTGTGATAAGTTCTCATGGAAGCTGCTGTTTCCTGACTCGTGCCACGTGTTGGCTATGGAGCAGAGAAGCTATACCTGTTCAGAGCTGCTAGTCTGGATCTTTTTCTGGCACTCCAGTCAGGGAATGGTGGAAGACAAGGCCGTTACAAGGTGCTGTGGCATTTGACAGTTGAATGCCAGGGGTGAGGCCAAATCTAGAGTTTGACAGCTGGGTATAGGGATTGGGACCAGTACAAATGTAATTTTTGGCATCATGGAATGTTTGCACTTCAGCAATGTTATTACCTTGGGTCATTTTGTATGTCCGGTCAGGCTTAATCTTAAAGAAACCTGTTGTTGTTTTAGGAAACATAGATGTTACAAATGCTAGCCCAGAGGTGGACAAATTAATATTTAATTCACAAGCCAGTCTGTCCAACCCAGGAAATGTTTTAGGAGCCAGCTCCATAGACAACAACTAGAGAAAAACTCAGAGGTTAGGTGCCAGCTGTAATTTATAAGGAGCCCTGGCTCCTAGGATTTGTCCAGCCCTGTGCTAGCCCGTCCTGAAAATGCTAGTTACCTGGCTGTTATATTGATCCTTTGCCTTAGTAGTGTAACTGACATTGAGCAAGCATAAAGATAAGGATATGTTGCTTCATAATGGCTTTCCTGATCTTCATACTTGTTACAGGTCAGCGACTTGAATAGTATAGCCCTATTTTCACTCGCAGCAGCATTAGCTTGTTTAGCTGCAAAAGATATATCAATATTTGTCCAGTTCTTATAGTGTAACTGGATATTCAGAGGTAAAGCACAGGAAAGCGTATGGGCCATTGTTGCTTGCATGTACACTTGCATGCTTCTCAGAAAACTGCCACGAAGGTGATCATGAGTAAATGTGTATGTGAAGGCTCACTTGTGTATATTACAAGCAGTCACCATGCATTATCGCAACTGCCTGGTGACTGTTTCTACCACACACAAACACAGCCTGTCATTATTTTCTTCCTGATTATGCTCCTGCTGACCATGCATGCTTTATTGCATTGTTTATTAACCCTTACAGGCTTAAAAGTCAATGATGGTCAGGCTAAGTTTAGCAAATTTGGTTCAGTTAACTTGGCAATAACTCAATGGCAAATTTGTATATCTAACACACACACTCAGTGTATTTGTTAAAGATTTGGTACAAAACCCTCTGTTTTCTTATAGACTGTCAGGTGTGTTTTTTTTTTTATTTTTTTTTTCTCCCTAGTTTTTTAATACTGTAATGGTATCTGAAAATGACTGTATTAAACAAATTATAACTTTTTTTTTTTTTAATGAAGCCTCTAGCCTGTATATAATCAGGAACCACTCTGAGTCCCCCACTCAATATCCCCATGAAATAAATGGCTTCTGTGCACAAGGGCTTTGTTGCCTTTATTTTAAACTTTCTGCGCTTTGGATTGCACCTAGCGTATTTTTGTGTCTGTTAATGAGCTGAAATAGACAGGTTATACACTAAAGCTGATAGTTTTACTTACCCCTCAGTCTTGCTTCATCGGCGGGCTTAGTATTGAATGGGGCTGACTGTTTTGTGGGAAATACCCTTTAAAACCACAATCAAAAATCAGTTTCTCTGCTTTGCAAAATTTTCAGACTTTGCTTAACAAGTATAATGTTATGTAACTAATAAGATACTGAAAGGTGCACAGATTCGTTTTGCTATACACACCCTTAAAGAGAAACTGTCACCATGCCTGTGGAGGGGAGTGTGAGAGTGTCTCTGTAGAGGAAATCCCCCATGACCCCCTTCGACATACCTGGTCTGTGCTCTCTTGCAGCACCTTTCTCCTCTGCAGCCAGCAATGAAGTCAGCATTGTTGGTGACTTGGGTGAATGGTGAGGTCATTCCTTGGGTCAGGGGACAGTGCTCTGACATAGTGTTTGCTAGGCCTGGGCACTGCCACGGGGCACCATGGGCCCCCCATTACCTAGTAGCATTGCGTAGTATCCTGGCTGCAGGGGAGCACAGCTGAAGGCCTCATTCACACCATATCCGTTGGCTTTGTTTTGTTTTAACGGATGCCAACGCAAGGACATCTGAAAATGAATGGCTGTGACTGGGAGCAGTTCACACCAGTCCGTTGCATTGCGCTGCCCTCCACTGAAGAAAAAAAGTAGAGCAGGCCCTACTTTTTTTCAGTGCAACACAACACAGTGGACTGGTG